TTCTCTTTTTTTAAGAGTCAGGATCTCCCTCTGTTGCCCAGACTGGAGTGCAGTGGCACAATTATAGCTCACCACAGCCTCAAACCCTTGGGCTCACGCAATCCTCTTGCCTCAGCCTCCCAAGTAGCCTGATGCTTTTTTGTTCTGTACATCACTACTGTTTTACTGACGAGGAACCAAGTTGAGCGATGTGCTTTATTAGTTTTCTATTGCTGTGTAACAAATTATCTCAAACCTAGTAGTTTAAAGCCACACGTGTATTATCTCACAGTTTCTGTGGGCCATGAGTATGAGTACTCAGTGGTTCCTCTGTTAGGGTCTTGACAATGGTGCAGGCAAGGTGTCCACTAGGCGTCATTCTTATCTGGAGCTCAAGATACTCTTCCAAGTTCACTTGGTCGTTGGTAGAAGTTAGTTCCTTGCATAATGAATGTATGATGGATGTTTTCTTACGAGCTATTGGCCAGAGACTGCCTTCTGCCCCAGGTCTTTGCCAAATGACCCCCTCCATTAGCCCTCCCACAACAAGAAAGTGTTTATTTCTTCAAGACCAGCAGAAGAAGCTCTGACCTTGCAGCAGGTAATAGCTGGGGGGACAGAATCAGACCCTCTTTTAAAGGCTTTACCCAGGATGATCGTTTTTTTTTTTTTTACTGCTCCAGTCAACGAAGGGAAAACTTTATTGAGGCCCCAGGGCCATGGGCCAGGGTAGGAGACTGCCTTATGGGAGGAGCTGGCTGGCAAGGACCTTATTTGACCTTCTTCTTGGGGGGCAGGTTGTTGGTATGCCTGTACTTCTTGCAGCAGTTGACCGCACGGGGATGCAGGTTTGAGTAACACTGTGGCAGCTTATCTTATCGCAGTTGTACTTCTGGGCGAGCTGGCGGAGGGAAGGCTCGATAGTACCACCTCACAGGCACAGCACCAGGTGCAGGGTGGACTCTTTCTGGATGTTGTAGTCTGAAAGTGTGTGGCCATCCTCCAACTGTTTGCCCACAAATATCAGATGCTGTTGGTGAGGTCGGATGCCCTCCTTGTCTTGGATTTTGGCTTTGGCATTCTTGATGGTGTCACGGGGCTCAACCTCAAGGGTGATAGTCTTGCCCGTGAGGGTCTTCACAAAGATCTGCATCTCTGCATCTGCCGCACACACTGCCGGCGCCACTGACCAGCCTGGTGTATCATTGAAAAGAAAGAGCTTTTTTTTTTTTTTTTTTTGAGTCAGAGTCTTACTCCATCACCCGGACTGGAGTGCAATAGCATGCTCATGGCCACCTCAATGTCAACTTACTGGGCTCTGGCGATCCTTCCACCTTAGCCTTCCAAGTAGCTGGAACTATAGGCACGCACTACCACGCCGGCTAATTTTTTTAATTTAATGTAGAGACGAGGTCTCACCAAGTTGCCCAGGCTATTCTCAAACCCGTGGCCTCAGGCAGTCCACTCACCTCGGCCTCCCAAAGTGCTGGGATTACAGGCTGAGCCACCGAGCCCAGCCTATCTTTCTTTTCATTAACTCAGAGTCAACTGATTAGGAATCTTAGTTATATCTAAAAGTTCCTTTTGCCATATAATGTATATAATCACAGTATTGATATCCTGTCATGTTCATAGGTCCTACCCACACTTAAGAGGGGACGTTACAGAGATGTACCCTGGGGGGTGAGAATCTTGGGTCTAACTTAGAATTCTGCTTACCACATGTGCACAGTTACCCAGCAGATAACTGGCAAAGCAGTGTTCTTTTTGAGCAAAACAGGCATCAAAGTCATTACACTACACTATACTATCTCTTAAAAACATGAAAGATTAAAAAATGTGTTAGAATTATTTTAAATATCTGAATTTGTGAATAATTTCACAATCGATACCATTAAGGTAAATTTAGAATACATCAATACCCTAAAATGCACATATGTAAAAATGCTGAGAAAGAAAATGAGAATGTAAAATAACATATACATGCTTCTTCCTATTATGTAGCAATACATGGATTCTAATATATAATGATATAAAATGTTGATTTATGTTTCTGGTTCTTTTGAAAATGTAGCTGTCATTTAAAAAGTATATTCTACAAAAGGTTAAGTTTACAACACAAAGCAGTAGATAATAAATGTTAAATATTTGTATTGAAAGTAAATATTACAGATGTTCAGAGTAGGAGAGATTAATGTGGGCTAGAGTTTTCCCTTAGGTGTAAAATAAGATTAATTTTTATGAGGTAGTTTATTACAAATTTTGCCCAGGACTAGTTTATTTTCTGTGGCTTGGTGTACAAGGTGGCATGTCTGTTTTAAAGAGAAGCAAGTCTTCTCAGATGTAACTTGTTGTCCTTTAAATGGAAATCCTTTGCTATAGACACTATCATAGCCCTCTGTCTCTTAATAGGATAGAAAACATGGTGTTTCTGTGTATCTCTGTTAGCTGATACTTTTTACCCATCTGTCCATCATTGCCAACTATTGCAAAGTAAATTGGTGAGCTTTTTCCCCCTTCTCCTAAAGATCTCATTTATTTTTTCTTGTTCATTTATTCTGTGTCTCTAGAACAGAGAATCATTTCAGCTGTTTATAAATTAGTTTTTATTTAAAAAGAAGTTGTGGTAGACTGAAAACGGACCCCCAAATATGTCCATGTCCTAATTCTTAGGACCTATTAATGTCAGCTTATGTGGCACAAAGGACTTTATAAAGCAAGAGACTTTGAAGATATGATCAGGTTAAAATTCTTGAGATGAGGAGATTATCGGGTATTACCTGAGTGGTTCTGATGTAATCTAAATGGTCCTCATAAGGAGAAGCAGGAGGAGTCAGAGGAGAAAGCAATTTGCTGATGATGGAAGCAGGGGTTGGAGTTATATACTTTGAAGCTGGAGGAAGAGCCACAAGCAGGTAGGTGGCCACTAGAAGCTAAAAAAGGCAAGGAAACTGATTTCTCTCCCCAAGCCAAAGACACAGCCCTGCTGACATCATGACTTTAGCTCAGTAAAACATTGTTCTAATTTCTGACCTCCAGAATTGTATGCGACTACATTTGTGTTGTTTTACGCCACATGGTTTGTGGTAATTTGTTCTTATAGCAGCAATAGGAAACTAATAACAGAAGTTGTAATAAATTAGCTTACTAGAAAGGTAATCTTTCTCTTGCAGCCTTGAGCAAATAAACTTCCCTTGGCATATACATAATTGTCCATGAAAAGTGAAAGACTCTTTCAGTGTGGGTAGAAGATTCAGATAATTTTTTGCTTCTTTGGTTAATATGATCTTTCAGTACACAGAAGACTTTTAGGATTTGCTTGAATAGAGATAGAAACTGGCGAGGAAAAAAAGAGTTAACATAAATGGGCTTTGAATGAAAGTCACAGAGAAGAAGGTAAGACTGGAAACATCAAGGACACTTCAGATATTTCAATTGTTTAGGTCTGCTTGGTTTCTTTCTCTTGTCTTTATCTTCCAGTAGAGACTGAATCCATTATCTAAAATAGCTAGAATAGGCCTTGGAAAACAAGACATCCTCAAAGGTGGATGATTTGTTCCTCTTAGCTTTTGTGTTAAAGGTTGTGCTCTGGCTGCTCAAAAGGAGTAACAGCTACTAGGAATACATCTTTGAACAGCCCATCTTGCTAGTTAAGTAATTGGACTTGATAACCCTCTCTTGCTATGCCCAAGGTCTAAATTAAAGGGAAGTTTGTATGCAGTCAAGAATTACCTTTGAAAGAGCGATCACTGGCTGGATTTGTTTTTCAGAAATGTACTCTCCCCATGAGTCCAGATTGATTAAGAATCTTTCTTCCACATGACTTTATATCATTATTATTTTGTTATTCACAAGTGTCTACCTTCTTGAGCAAGTCGTTCATCTGTAGCACACTCAACCTCTGCATTAAACTAGAATATTTCTGTTTGGACAACAGCCTGGAATTTGGATATGCTGTGTTTCTGAAATACATTGTGAAGAAAAGTTGCATATTTGTTGTACTAAATCACTGATGCTCAGGGCTGAGCTATGTATAACAATTTGACCTTCCAAGACGAAGGTCAAAGGTGAGGCAGGTGGAGATGTTCCATGATACACACCAGTGGTTTTCAAAGTGTGGTCCCCAGAATAGCATCAGCATCACCTGGGAATTTGTAAGAAATGCAAATTCTTTGACTCTGCTTTAGGTAGAGAGAGTTCCATGTTTAACAAGCCCTCTAGGTGACTCTGGTAAAGTTAAAGTTTGAGAATCATTGATATAGATTAAGTTGTGCTCTCCCTGATAGAACAGCCTTAAGGCTAAAATGTTGGAAAAGCTCATGCTATTGGCCAGTCAGAGATAATTTGCAAATCCTTCCTTTCTGCCCAAATTCCATCAAACTGTAATCACTGGAATAGCTTAATTGAAAAATCTCTTTTGTTTGTAGCTGAAATGAAATATGTTTTGTATTTAAATAACTGCTTTTGATTAAAATCATTTTGTTGAAAGTAGTTGGTTTTATCTGTGTTCTGTAGAGATATTTATTAAAGCTCATCAAAGTTGTAGCATTAAGTAACATCCTATCAGTATAAGGTGAAATGTTTTACAACAAATATCATGCTGTGTAATGGCCAATCAAAGGGTATTTATGATGGCTGAAAGGATTTCTTGGTTCAGTATTCAGAATTAAAACATTTTAAAAAACATTAATATTTAATGCTTTTACCTCTCCTCAAAATTAATTTTATGTAATGCTTATTATTTTCAACTCCAGAATCACCAAAGATCTTGCTTAAACAGCATGCAGCAACACTATTTTTCTCATCCTCATATGGATTTGCTGAAATGTAGGTTGTTTGAAAATAAATATAGCTTTGTGGCACATGTCTGCTTAGCTGTGTGAATGCTATTATTTAATATTTAAGATGACAAAACAACAGGTTTGTTTTCGTAAACATATATCATTGATTTATGAAAACCCAAGGAAAGAACATGTTTTATTGTGCTCTGACTTGACAAGCGATCTTGTGGTTCTTTTTAGGTATCCAGTAGGAAAAGCACACTCCAGTCTTCATCTATGGAATTGGATGGTTCCTACTTGAGTATGGCCAGACCACAGACCTACCATCAAACCAAGCAGAGGCCTAAGTCTGCAAACCAGAGTTCAGCTTTCAAATCCCTTATGGAGTATAGAAATAATTCTTTGAAACCAGTAACCCTTCATCACCCCAAAGAGGGTCGAGATAGGGTGCCACCAGAGATCAGAACCTGTCATTATGAATCTCCAGTAAGAAAACAGGTGGATGCAGTCCCAACAGAGAAAACTCCACCAGAAGAACTGAAGATGAAGGAATGTTCACACTTTAAACATACTCCATCTAGTCAGCATTGTGGTCACAGACTTTCTGAAAATGCAGATCATGTTCGTGAGTGCTATCCTGCAAACATGGCCCCTCAATATTCCAAGGTACATCCAGAATCATGCAGTTATTGTGGGCTTTCTTGGGCATCTCTGATGCATGATGGAGGGGCACTGCAACCTGGTGAAACTAATGTCAAAAAACAGCTCTCAGAAGATAGAAAGCAGCAACTGATGCTTCAGAAAATGGAACTAGAAATTGAAAAGGAGCGCCTTCAGCACCTGCTGGCACAGCAGGAGACAAAACTTCTCCTAAAGCAGCAGCAGCTTCACCAGTCTCAACTGGACTATAATTGGTGAGTCCTACCTGTTCTTTCAGCAATGTCTGTAGTTTGGAGACCACAGCATTAAATTGTTAACGTGTTACTATAGCAGATGTATAGAAACAGATTCTTCAGGATCTTGGTTTGCACAAGATACATACCAACCAAGACTACTGAGTAATTTCCCTTGTCTTCCTTGTAATACTTGAAAGATTACATTTTCTTCCAAATTCTTAGTACAGAATATATCCTTCTGAGCAGTTTGGTGTAATTTTGGGTGAATTCCAAAGGCAACATTTTTATATTACCATTACACAAAATCCTTTGCTGTTTGATGTCATTGTAGAGAACATTAGGCATAAAGTAACGACTTGAGATTTCAGGGAGTGGAATCATTATGAAGAAGTGTGGTTAGCTGTTATCAATCCATATTTATGTCTACACACCATAACATGAAATATATCAAATGACAGGAGACTTCTAAATGCAGCCTTTTCTGGTTGTAAATTATAACCTATTTAATGGCCAATTCTTATAAACTTAAACACATTTAGACTGTTCTTCCTTTAACAATTCTTCTGTAAGAACAATGTTTCAAAAGCTAATTGCTATTTTGTTATTATATAGTGTTCAGTTTTTCTATGTCATTTCTGGCATTTGGTATTGTCACTAATTTTTATTTTACCTTTTTTTTTTTTTTTTTGTGAGTTGGAGCCTCACTCTGTCACCCAAACTGGAGTGCAGTGGCCGCTCCCGGCCATCGCAGCCACGACCTGCTGGGCTTGGGCGATCCTTCCGCCTCAGCCTTCCAAGTAGCCGGAACTACAAGCACGTGCTACCATGCCCAGCTAATTTTTGATTTATTATAGAGATGAGGTCTCGCCAAGTTGCCCAGGCAGGTCTCGAACCCGCGGGCTCAGGCAATCCACTCACCTCAGCCTCTCAAAGCACGGGATTACAGGCTGAGTTAAATATGTTTATAGTGACATTTCATTGTAGCTTTAATTTGTATTTACCTAATGACTAGTAATGCTAGACTTTTTTGTGTGTGTTGCTTGCCCTCCTTCTAGCCTCTTCTATAAATTATCTCTTCGGTATCTTTTTTCCATATTCTAATTGGAATAAAACAGTGTTTTTACTGTTTTGAGAGTTCCTCATATTTTCTAGATGTAAGTTCTTTGTCAGATATGTAGATTACAAAGATTTTCTCTCAGTCTGGAGCTTGTCTTTCTAATCTCTTAGAACGTATTTTTACAGAGCAAGTTTTAAACTTTGGATGAAGTCTAGTTTATACATTTTTTTGTTTCGTGGATTTTATAGTTTCATCATGAATAAGTGTTGAATTTTGTCAAATATCTTCTGTGATCATGTGATTTTTCTTACTTAGCCTGCTAATGTGCAGGATTATGTTGATTTTTGAATATTGAGCCAACCTTGTATCCCTGAGAATAAACTCCCACTTTGTCATAGTGTATGATTTTTTAAATATATTACTGAATTCCATTTACTAATGTTTTGTTTTTCATGAGGGCCATTGGTCTCTTTTTAAAAAAATACTGTCTTTGGTATTGAGTTAATATTGGCCTTATAAAATAAATTGGGATATGTTTCTTCCACTTATACTTTCTGGAAGAGATTTTGTAGATTCAATGTTAATTTTTCTTTAAATGTGTGGTAGGATTCTCCAGTGAAACCATCTAGTTCTAGAGATTTTGGGGGAGAATGTTTAAATCACAGGTTAAATTTCCTTAATATTTACAGGACTGTTCAAATGATCTATTTGATAATGAGTAAGTGGTGGTAGTTCGTGCTTTTTGAAGAGTTGGTCCATTTCATCTACAATATCAAATATGTGTAGGCTTATTCTTAGTATTCTGTCATTACCTTTTTGATGTCTGATGGGTTTGTAGTAATAGCCTGTTCTATTTCTGATATTGGTAATTTGTCTCTTCTGTTTTGCTTTATCTGTCTTGCTACAGGTTTGTTAATTTTAATTATCTTTTCCATGAACTCATTTTTTGTTTCATTAATTTTCTTTATTGTTTTTCTGTGTTCAGTTTCATTGGTTTCTGCTGTTTATTGTTTTCTTCCTCTGCTTGATTCTTTTTTCTAATTTGCTAAGATAAGAACTTAGATCATTGATTTAAGACTTTTTCTTTTTCTACAGGAAGCCTTTAGGTGCTACAGAGTCCCCTTTATAACACTGATTGAGCTGTTCCCCACACATGTTTTCTTTTACCCTCCTTCCTAAGAGTTACTTAAAAATTTTTGAGAATTTTATTTTAATTTATCTATACAATTAGTCCTTTATATCCCCAGGTTTTATATCTACAGAGTCAACCAATTGTGGAATCAAAATGTTTGTGAACAAGTAAATTTAAAATAACAATACAGCGATAAAAAATAATATGCATAAAAAGTACAGTATAGCAACTGTTTAGGTAGCATTTGTATCATATTTGATATTATAAGTATTCTAAGAAATCTAGAAATTATTTAAAACATGGAAGAGTGTGCACAAGTTATATGCAAATAGTACACCACTTTAGCATCTGTGAATTTTGATATGGGAGTGGGGCCTGGAATCACTCCCCCAAGGACCCCAAGGGGTCACTGTAGTGTTTTCAAGAATATCTCTTGGATAGATATGTCTTATTGGCTGATCTGGGCATTACATTATAGACACGTAATTTATCAAAATCTTTTGGTATTGTATTTTTCCAGTTTAATTTAATTATAGAAATTTTACTTTGAGTCCCCTTCCCCTCCCTCGTTTATAATTGTCTTAAAGATTTTCTTTACTTACATTGAGAACCACATCAGAAAATATTGTAATTTTTTTCTTTAATAATCAAATTTAGAAAATCGAAGAAAAGTTTATTGTGTTTACCTGTAGTTTTATTCTTTTTTTTTCATTAATCAGTATTTTTTATTATGGTTTTGTGGGGTACAGTTAAGGGTTAGGTGTACAATTACGTTTCATTCAGGCACCCTGTTGATAAGAGGTGTTTTCTCATCCCCCGACAGATATTTGCTACTGTTAATCCCATCCCTCTCCCCCCCATAGTTTCCCAGTACCGTCAGTCATTTTCTTATAGTATTGCATTGGATGTTTATGGTCCATTATATGAGTGAGAACATGTGATATTCCGATCTTTGTTTCTGTGAGAGGTTACTCAGTATTATAGACTCTAGTTTTATTCTTTTTATCATTTTCTTCTTCTATCATTTCCTTTTTATTTCATAAGCTCTCTTTAAGGGTAGGTCTGCTGGCAACAGATTCTTTTAGTTTTCCTTCTTCTAAGAATGTTTTCATTTTCTAGAATTATGGATTGACAGTTTTCTTTTTCTATTAGCACTTGAAAAATGTGCCACTTTCTCTGGCATCTATGTTTTCTGAAATCATTTAAATTATTTTTCTTTATACATAAAATATTGTTTCTCTTTTGCTGTTTTTAAGATTTTTTTTACTTTCGTTTTCAGAAATTTGACTATAATGTGTCTTGACATAGATCTATTTATCCTGTTTAGACTTCAATTCAGCTTCTTGAATTGTAGTTTTCCAGCTTTTGCCAAATTTGGGAAGTTTTCAGTCATTATTTTTTTCTGATATTTTTTAATCCCATGCCCTTCTTTTAGTATCCAGTGATATAAATGTACAATCTTTTGATACAGGCTTATATATCCCTAAGAACCTATTTAGATTTTTTTCTTGTTGTTCTTCAGTCTACTTTGCTCTATTCAGGATTGTGTAGTTTCTCTGATTCTATTTTCAAATTACTGCTTCTTTTCTCTATTCTCTCCATTGAGTTTTTAAATTTTACTTACTGCATATTTTTTGTAGTTAGGTGAGTATTTTTCAGAATTAAGACTTCCATTTGGTTCTCTTTTATGTCTTCTCTTTCTTTTCAGAGACTGTCTATTTTCATTTATTTCAAGCATGCACATGCCTGCTTTAATATTCTTATTGGAAATTCTAACATTTGTGTCATCTTGTTTTTGACTTCTGTTGTCTTTTCTCATTCAAGTTGAAATTGCGTTTACTCTTGGTATGATGAATATTTTTAAATTATATCCTGGACATTTTCAGTTTATGGTATGTGACACTGGATGTTACTTAAGTTACCTCTTTTAGCAGGTCTTCTCTGATGCCACTCTGGCAAAGGTTTGGGTTGTCTCATTTGAGTCAGTAGAAAATGGAAGTCTAGCCTCCTGGAATTTTGCTGGTAGGAATGGGGGACATGGGGCCACGGTTTTTCCCATGATATTTGGCTGTAGTATGACAGTTATTGCCTTTAAGTTTTCTGTCAAGGTAGACTTCCTTTCCTGATACTTTGGCTAGAGAAAACAGGCTTTCTTCTCTTCCTGTGTGCTTTTTGAGTTCCTAGATTGCCAGCTTCTCCAGCATTCAAAATTTCTGATGCAAAACAAAGCCCAGCAAACTCACCATTTTTTTGTTCATCTGGCCCCAGCCCACCTTCTCAACCTTCTTATGTTTGTTTCAAATATGATGTCTAAGACTTTTGGCTGTACAGAACTAGAAAGAAATGCATCTCTTTCATCTTGTCCCAGAACTAGAAGTCCCTAGAGATTTTAGTAATAGCAAGGAAATAAATACATAAATGTTCAGCAGATCTAATGATTTCTAGTTCTCTTCAAATTTTATTTATCCAATAACCTATGTTAAGTTATATTTTATCAAGTTATATTTTATGATTTTTCATTCCAACATTGAACTTTTGTAGATTGAACAAAAAATGCTTCACAAAGCAAAATTATCAGGAAGGTCTACCTATAGGTCTGGTAATAGGCGGAGAATACCTGTTTCCTGTCACGTCTCTTGAAATTTGTTATTTGTTTAAACTCTAAAAATTTATACTATCTGGGAAGCAACTCACCTGAGATAGCTCAGGCTCCTTCTGGGACTCATATCTCTTTATGCTAATTGTCTTTTTAAGTTGACCATATTCACACTTTGTGTGTAGATTTCCCTTCCTTGAAAGTGGTTGTCATTTGACATTAATGCAACCTCTGGGTTGCATTAAATTACTCCTTCTTTTGGAAGAAGTTATTTGCTTTCTGACTTTAGAAGCTTAGGTGTTTTTCTTTGGGTAATTTTAAATCTTCTTGGGTAGCCAATGTAAAGGAAATTTATCTAAACCATCATACAGTGCCCTACTGTAACACTGGCCACTTTTTTTTTTTTTTTTGAGTTGGTGTCTCACTCCATAACACTGGCCACTTTTTTTTTTTTTTTTTTTTTTTTTTTTGAGTTGATGTCTCACTCCGTCGCCCAGACTGGAGTGCAGTGGCATGCTCCCGGCCACCGCAGCCTCAACCTGCTGGGCTCCAGCGATCCTTCCATCTCAGCCTTCCAAGTAGCTGGAACTACAGGCATGCACTACCATACCCGGCTAATTTTTTATTTATTGTAGAGACAAGGTCTCACCAAGTTGTCCAGGCTGATCTCGAACCCGTGGGCTCAGGAAATCCACTCTCCTTGGCCTCCCAAAGTGCTGGGATTACAGGCTGACCCTCCATGCCTGGCCCAACACTGGCTAGTTTTACAACTGGTCAAGCTGGTGTCTGGTGCCTTGGTCACCTTTTAAACAGGGTCTTTGTGTCTCTTTGTAAGTCTCAGCCATAGTTCTGCCATTTCATTCATCCTGTATAACTGTGATCAGAAAACAAAATTCTCATCCAGGGGAAATGTCCAGATAAACAGAAACACAAGACAAATTTAATTGAACAGTGTTCACTTCTTGTTCTCCTGCTTGCTCTACCAGTTTTTCATGGTGAGCTGGTGCAACCCAGAATTAGGAGCCAAGATCTATCCATTTAACTAATCATTATCACAATTCATATTTCTAGGCTGAAAGTTGCCCTACTCTCTGGCCTAATTTTTAGATTTATATAATTGTATCACTTATGAGTTATTTAAAATTCAGCTTTCTGCACTTAGTACATATACCAAGAATATCTATTTCAAATGAATCCTCCTAAGACATTGTTGTTATTGTGCCCCTTCTGAATTTTAAAAGCCTATGATAATTTTTTACTGGATTGTGTTTATTCAACTAGTACTCAAAACTTTTTATGATCTGGAATCACCTCTTTACCTAACATTTGCCCCTACTTTTTCTAAAAAATTATTTTTTTTCCAAAGGCAAGTTTGCCTCCTTGAGACCTTCTCAATAGATCATTTATATTTCTTCCTCAAGCTGTACTTTTGCCCCTGATTTAAATATCTTTACTTTTCCATTTATCTATACCCTGTCTACTCATAACAGCATAGTTAAAATTCCATCACGTAAAAATATTAGGTCTGGTTTATTTTTCACCTAACTCTATTTTAAGTTATTTAATATATACCAAATTAGTGCCTTACTGTTTTTTGTTTGTTTGTTTGTTTTTGAGTTGGAGTCTCACTCTGTTGCCTAGACTGGAGTGCAGTGGCCGCTCCTGGCTACCGCAGCCTCGACCTGCTGGGCTCCGGCGATCCTTCCACCTCAGCCTTCCAAGTAGCCGGAATTACAGACATGCGCTACCACACCCACATTTTTTTATTTATTGTAGAGATGAGGTCTCGCTGCCCCGGCAGGTCTTGAACCCGCGGGCTCAGGCAATCCACTCACCTCAGCCTCCCAAAGGCGTGGGATTACAGGCTGAGCCACCGACCCCAGCTCTTACTGTTTAATATGTAGCTTAAGTCTCTAATTCAGGTTTGTTCTCCTTGTTTCAGCACACATTTACCGAGCCCCCTACTTTGCACAGAACTGTATTTAGAAGTACCAAAATGAGCAAGACTTGATCTTGCCTTTCAGTATATTGTACATAATCTCATTCCTAAAATTTATATATAATTTGAATTTATATCTTTACTGAAAGTTGCCATTCATATGGCCTAAGAACTTTCTCTTCAATTAAATTAATGAATTAATATCTGTTATACACAAGGCTGTATTTACAGCACTCAGGATGTTCAGGAGAAAAAGGCAATCTGAATTGAATAGCAGATGAGTAGCATAGAATTGTTATAATAGTTTAGAGTTCTGGAATAAACCTATTATTTTGGAATACTTTTGGCATGACACTGACATTTACTTAAATTGAGATTAATGATTCATTCTGCCACCTTGCCTATTAAATTATGGTCTATAAGAACTTTCTATTATTGGCCAGGCTCGGTGGCTCAGCCTGTGATCCAGCACTTTGGGAGGCCGAGGAGAGTGGAATCCCTGAGCCTGCAGGTTCGAGACCAACCCAGGCAACTTGGTGAGACCTCATCTCTACAATAAGTAAAAAATTAGCCGAGTGTGGTAGCATGTACCTGTAGTTCCAACTACTTGGAAGGCTGAGGCAGAAGGATTGCAGGTCAGCACAGGAGTGACCATGAGCATGCCACTGCACTCCTGCCTGGCCAACAGAGTGAGACTCCCAACTCAAAAAAAAAAAGGAAAGAAAGAAAAAAAGCACTTTTTATTATTTTTGTGAGCCCTTTCCAGATTGATCAGAGAGGATTTATTCAGAATACTATGCACAACAGTGTCAAAACCTATCTTTAATTCTTTTTTTGGAGCAAAGTAGTATAAATGTAATGAATCCAAATCAAGACTAACTATAATATTTACCTTTGACTCCCACTCTTACAATATGCCTTAATACATGTATGCTATACCTAATTGTGATTTTAAAAATATCACCTTCATCACTTAAAAAAAAAAGTATCATGTTGGGAGAGTCCTGTGCCTGTGCTTTACTGAAGTCATCTGTAAATATATGCAGTAAAAGAAACTACTACACAGAGTGGTTTTGAGTGTCAGTACAATAGTATATGTGAAATGCACTTCTTAAATGGTAGTTGCTACCACCATTATCATCATCATTTCTACTATTGCTGCAGGGGCTACTCTGATTGCTATTGTTGCTATTATTTTTTCACTCTGTTTTCTTAATTGCCTGATTTTAGCATTTTGCATCTGAATTTGCCTACCTATGTGTCATTACTAAATATTAGCGTTAAACTGTAAATTCCTAAAGGTAAATTAATCTACATACTTCTTTTTCTACATCATACATCACTGTGCATAGTTAGTTACAATTATAAGAATGTGTTGGCAAGGTTTGGTGGCTCAGCCTGTAATCCCAGCATTTGAGGAGGCCAAGGTGAGTGGATTGCCTAAGCCTGTGGGTTCGAGACCAGCCTGGGCAACTTGGTGAGATCTCATCTCTACATTAAATTTAAAAAAAAATTAGCAGGGTACAGTAGCACATGCCTGTAGTTCCTGCTACCTGGAAGGATGAGGTAGAAGGATCGCTGAAGTCCAGCAGGTCAATGCTGGGGGGTGGCCATGAGTGGGCCACTCTACTCCAGCCTGGGTGACAGAGTCTCCAACTCAAAAAAAAAAAAGTCTTTTGACAAAAGATGAAAATGATAATAGTGTGTCAATAATGTTTTACTGTTTGATAGTTCTATTTCATAGTTAAAGAATATACTTTTACAGATAACCAGAGAACATTTCTAAAATACTGAGAGTATGGATAGTAAGTGTCACATATTTGATACCAGTGATTGACAGTCATATTCCTGGTAGAGGACCTTTGTGTCAGTTCCATCAAGGGCCCTACCAACTCAGCACATGTGAGTGTGGGGCTAAGTTAGCACTGATAGATAGGATGTTTTCCAATTCTTTGGGTAGAATTTATCTTTGACCCAGAGAAAATATGTCAGCCAGATATAGCCCTAACTCTTTGAAATGTCAGTATGAGGAGTGAGTACCTCCCATGTAAATGCTAGTCAGGGTCAGTGATAATTAGAGTTAGAATGCATATGTAGAATTCATATTCAAATTCTGGTGATAAAAATACACTTAACAATTAATAGAGGGAAGATTTAACTTTCTAAAGAGGAGATTTAAAGTGCCTCTACTAAAACATCTATAATTTTGAGGTTTTTAAATTTTATTTATTTATTTATTATTTTTTTTTAGAAAGCAGGATTTATTGAGGACAGAAAAGCTCCCACAGCAGGAGGGGCCCGAAGGGGTTGCCCCAATTTTGAGTTTTTAAATGATATTCTAACCATTGTAATCTTCTCTTCCTTCACTACATGTAAGATTTAAGTTCCTATAAAATCAATTTGTGTTTATTTATATATATTTAGATATTATCCACTTATTTTTTGGTAGATTGAGTTTAAAAATTTTTTTTTTTTTTTTGAGTTGAAGTCTCACTCTGTCGCCCAGACTGGAGTGCAGTGGCCACTCCCGGCCACCGCAGCCTCGACCTGCTGGGCTCCGGTGATCCTTCCGCCTCAGCCTTCCGAGTAGCCTGAATTACAGGCGCGCGCTATCACGCCTGGCTAATTTTTTGATTTATTATAAAAAATACATATGGCCGAGATGAGGTCTCGCCTGCCCAGGCAGGTCTCGAACCCGCGGGCTCAGGCAATCCACTCACCTCAGCCTCCCAAAGACGCAGGATTACAGGCTGAACCACTGAGCCCGGCTGAGTTTTAAAATTTTTAAATAATTACTGGGTATGTAGCTGAAAGAGAATGGTTTTCTAAGGACTCCACATGATTAGAAATTTTAAAAATTTATTTTTCAGGTTAAAAACTCAAGCTTTATTTAAATCAAGAGAACTGGTTGCTGACAAAGAGCTTACTAAACCCCGAGACCTCAATCTGGATTTGAGTGGGAGTGACTCTGGACCAAGGTAAACCCAAGATCTTGGCAAGAACATTAAGTACATAAATATTTAGGGTAATGTTTGGTATAAATTAGCTCTGTATTAGTTAGTAGTATTATTCTAACCATAAGAATAGGTACATTCTTGTTTTAAAATTTTGAAAAATATATTAATGGGTGAAAAAGAAAAAAAATTCATAATCCTATAACTCACAATCTCTTGAGCCTTTTCTCCTCTTGTTCTTTGTATGACATTACAGTCTATATTGAGTAAGGGGGACTTATGCTTATACAGAATGTTCTTACTTTTTTCACTTTTTGTTTTCTTTCTTAAAATTTTATTTCTGTTATTTTATTTTTAGAGACAGGGTCTCACTTTGTTGCCTAGGTTGAAGTGCAGTGGTGTGCTCATAGCTCACTGCAGTCTCCAACCCCTGGCCTCAAATAATCATCCCACCTCAGCCCCCCAGTAGCTGGGACTACAGGTGCATGCCACCATGCCTGGCTAATTTTTATTTATATTTTATTTTATTTTGTAGAGACAGGGTCTCACCATGTTACCCAGGCTAGTCTCAAACTCAAGCAGTCCCCTTTCCCTGGCCTCCCATTTATGTGTTGGGATTACAGACATGTGCCACCATGCCTGGCCATGTTTTCTGATATTATTAAATAGTTTGTGAACACCTATAACTAATTCATTCAACAAATATTTATTGTGTAGCAACTCTGCCCCAATACCAATCTGTTAGCTTGTAATTGGATAGTACAAGTTTCTTCTATTATCAGCTATACCTTTAAATCATTTCTCTAATACATTTTTAATTTCATCTCTACCTGTTTCCTTATTATAGATTCCTCAGGTAGAATTACTAGTTCAAAGTATATACAAGTCTTTTTAAGATCCACGATTCACATTGCTACATTGTTTTATTTTATTTTATCTATTTATTTATTTATTTATTTTTGAGTTGGAGTCTCACTCTGTCACCCAGACTGGAGTGCAGTGGCCGCTCCCGGCCACCGCAGCCTCGACCTGCTGGGCTCCAGCGATCCTTCCGCCTCAGCCTTCCGAGTAACCGGAACTACAGACGCGTGCTACCACGTCCGGCTGATATTTTGATTTATTGTAGAGATGAGGTCTCGCTGCCCAGGCGGGTCTCGAACCCACGGGCTCAGGCAATCCACTCACCTCAGCCTCCCAAAGGCGCGGGATTACAGGCTGAGCCACCAAGCCCGTCTGCTACATTGTTTTATAGAAAACAACTTACACCCCCAAAGCAGTGTTTAAGAATTCTCTTTTTATGAAATTTGAGGAAATTTTTTGGTTTTTTTTCACTGTTCTTTTTTCCCTCTCCTTTTAGGACTGCAGATATGGTCCTATAGGTCCCTGGCACTCTGCTAGTTTTTTAAAAATCTATCACTTAATTTTTTTATGTTTGATAATTTATATTGATTTATCTTCAAGTTCATCAGCTCTTCTGGTGACTCCAATCTGTTGTTAGGTCCCTATAGTGATATTTTCTTGAGTTTCATATATTATATTTTTCAGTTCTGGAATTTCCATTTGGATCTTTATAGTAATTTCTCTTTCTCTGAGATTTTCTATTTTATTCCTCATGAACATATTTTTATTTTCTTGAATATTATTGTAACTGTTTTATGGGTTTGTCTGCTAATTCTATCACTTGGTTCTTTTGGGATTAATCTCAACTTTTTTCTTGAGTATTGGTCTAGTTTTCTTGTTTCTTTGGCTATCTGATAATTTTGTATTATATAATGGTCATTGTCATTGACTCTGAAATTCAGTTATGTTTCTCTGAACAGTGTTGCCTTTTTCGTTTTAGCAAGCAGTTAACTTTATTTAACTCAGACTCCAAGCTCTGTCTTCCTGGAGTAAGTGGCAGTGAAAATGACTACTGATTTATTTTAATCTTAATTGAGCTGGTTGATTCTACAATGGCCTAGAGCCTCAATCTGTAGGAGCCAGCCTGGCAACAGGAACTCCTGGGGCAGACCTCAACCCTGGATCCACCAGAGTCTGGGGCCATTGGTGTAGACCTGGAGCTTGGGTCCATGGAGACTGGCCCAGTAGCCGTGTGTGTGTCTGCTGCCCTAGAGGCTAGGGTCTGCAATAGCTGCCCTGGGTCCTGGGATCTGAGGAGCAGTCCTTGAACCCAGGTGCTTGGATCCTGGGTCTGTGGGGACCAACTTAGCACTGGGTTCTACTGGGATGGGCTTGTACCCTGCATTTGCTGGAGAGTGGGAACATAGAGACTGGCCTTGCACAGGACAGATCTGGTACCTAAGGCCATGGGTGCCAGTCTGGACTAGGGCAGGCCTAAAAACTGGGACTGGGTGGATCAACCTGGTTCTGGGTTGATCTGGGATCTGAGGCAGGCCTGGAGCCTAGGGCTCCAGTCCGAGGGTGCCAGCCTGGAGTCTAGGGCCATGAGGGTCTGCCCAACACTAGGTTTAGTGGGGGTGGGGGGGCCTGGTGTTAGACTCTGTGGCAAAATTTGGTGCTCACTTTCCTCTCCTTCCACCCATGCAGGGGATGTCTCTTTTCACTATCTGAGGCTTGAGGGAGAAGGGGGATGCCAATAATGTAACACTATTTTTCCTACTCTCTTCAATACATCTTTTCTTATTTCTGTGCTACAGCCAGGTGCTATAATCTCTCACCTGGTTTTCTTAGCTCTTGTGAATGTATTTTTGCATGTGGATAGTTGTTCAAATTGGTATTTCTGTGGGGACAGGGTTTTGGGGACAAGTGCCTGAAAGTTCTATTTCACCATCTTGCTGACATTCCTTCTCCAGTAAGCAGTTTTTACTGTTTTAGATGTTTCCTCTTTTATCTGTTCCTTCTAGTATTTATATCCCTATTTCTGAATAACAGACATATGTAGTCATTAAGTATCAACTTTCTGCTATGGAAGATGATGATTTAGCTCTCGTTGGTAACTATTTGCTCTCCCCTTGTTTTCTCCCTTTTTCTTTCCTCCATCTGTATTCTTTTCTTCCTTCCTTCCTCTCTCTCTTCCCTCCACCCCTCCCTCTCTCTCTAATAGCATACCCACATACATGCTGCTTCCTTTTCTCTGTCCTCTCAATATATCTATATCAAAATATTTATAATAAGACAATATTTTATTCACAGCTGAAACATGTACTTTATTATTATTAAATTCAATTTTTATGTAATAAATTCTTTTCTCTAGAGTTTAAAAATGCTTTATTTGCTAAAGAAATACAAATCCTGCATGATTTCACTTATACGTGGAATCTAAAAACATCAAACCCAGAGAAGCAGGGAGTAGAGTAGTGGTGGCCAAAGGCTGGGTGGGGAGTAGGGCAGAAAAGGAGATGTTGCTCAAAGAATACAAAGCTTCAGTTAGACAAGTAAATAAGTTCTGGAGATCTACCAGTATAACATGGTGACTGTGGCTATTAATAATATGTTAGGCTGTGTGTAATGGCTCATGCCTGTAATCCTAGCACTTTGGGAGGCCAAGGCAGAAGGATCACTTGAGCTCAGGAGTCTCAAACTCCTAGACCACATAGCAAGACTCTCTCTGTCTCTCTCTTCCCCCATGTGGTGTCTCTCTCTCTCTCTATCTATCTGTCTCTCTCCCCCCATATCTCTCTCTCTCTCTCTGTCTTCCCTCTCTGTGTGTGTGTGTATGTATATTTATATACCAATAATATTAATGTATTGTATACTGCAAATTGCTAAGAGAATAGATCTTAAATGTTCTCACCACACAAAAGTGATGAATTTTTACTAACTTGATTTAATCATTTCACAATAAATACATATATCAAAACACTATGTTGTAACCATAAATATATACAATTATAAAGGTTTGTCAATTTAAAAATTTATAAATAAAATTAAAATGCCTTATTTAATTTTCTATGTTCTCATTCATTCATATAGTCACTCAAATATTAAGTTTTCCACCATTTATTAGACATTATTACAGACTTTGAGGGATATAGCAGTGCATAAAAACAAACAAAAATTTTTGGTCTTGTACAATTCACATTCTCATGTCTTCTTGTTCCCAAATTCACCCAGAAAGTATAATTCTCAATATATTCAGACACATCAGTTATTCTATCATGATATCTCATCATTTCCTTCCTTTTTTTTTTTTTTTTTTTCTTCTTTCCTTTTGGTTTTTTGTTTGTTTGTTTGTGTTATTGTTGTTTTAAGATATCCTTCCTGGAGCCCTCCATAAAATCTTGCTCTAGTGTGACTTATTTATTATCTAGGCTTACATCCTGAAATCTCCATATCCATCATCCTGGAAATTTTTTTTTACTTCTTTTCTGTGTTAGAATCTTTTTGTTCCCCCCTAGATCCTGTTCTCTTCTTTTTAGTTCATATTTCTGCGTTTTACTGAAACATGTCCTTTGATAGCTTACTGAAAAGGAGTACAGAGGCAGTAATTTTTTGAGTTATACCACTGAAAAATGCCTTTAATCTATCTTCATGTTTAATTTGTATATAGAACTCTTTCTAACTGTATACAGAATTCTTGGTTGGTAATTATTTTTTCTCAGAAGGGATTAAAAGTTGTGTTCTGTTATCTTCTAGTTTCTGGTATTGCCATTAAGAAGTGAGATACAATCTGATTATTCATCTTTTTTATGTGACCCATTCCCCATGACAGCTATTAGGGTCTTAAATTTCTTTACATTCACCTACAAATTAATGCTGATGTGCATTAGTTGGACCTCTTCCCATTTATTATGTGGAGTAATCTGAACTCTTTCAACTGGAAAACTTTATTCAATTTAGAGAAAATTTCTTTGTTAATTTCCCTCATCTCATTTTTATATTGTCTCTTTCCAGAACTTATCTTACTCGCATATTGAATGTCTTGGAATTATCTCTCATTTTCTTATTTTTCTCTCCTATTTTTCATATTTGTCTTTTTTTCTAGCTTCTAAGAGATTTTCTAAATTTTATCTTTCAACGCTTCTGTTGAATTTTGCTACTGCTGTAATTTTTAACTTCCAAGAACACTTTATTCTTTGAAAGGGCATTTCTTTTTTGTATGAATCCATTCTTGTTTTATATATGCAATGTTTTTTTCTTGTCTCTGTTTTTTTCTTGTCTCTGAGGATATTTATAATAGTTTTTGAAGTTTCTTCTATTCCTGGTACATTATGTCTAGTTTCACAAAATTTACATTTCTCTTTTTCCAAAATATCTGATGATCCACTTATATTTACAAGCAACACAGTAAAAACCTATGAACAGCTCTTAGTATATATGAGCAGAGCTTGTCAACTGATGGATTTCACTGTGATCAGGTAGGAACCTTGAGAACCCTTGCCTGTTATTATCTATAGGATTTTTTTCTTATGGTGGTCAGTTTCCCTAAGGATAAATCTTTAGGTAGGAAGAAGGGTGGAAGCACTTCATAAACTTGGCTGCCAATATAGGGAACCCAGTGGAATAAGAGAAAAGAGACCCATCACTCAGGTAACCTTTCACTTAATTGCCCTTTTAACTATATGGATTTCTGCCTTCGACTGTATTTCAGGTCCCCAAGCTCAGAGACATTCGTTTTCAACCTCCCCAAAGGGATAAACTTTCAGTCTTCTTCACATGATATGGACAGAGAGAGGAGGATCTTGACTTTTTACTGGTATCGCAACTTTCAGCCAGGTGTAATTTTTAGTCCTACCTGCATTCCTCCTGCTTCCTCCAGTCCCTGAATCTTTTAGTTCACTGGCATGGTTCAGCAAATACCCTCCTTTGGTCCCAGCTAGCAGATATTTCAGTTTTGATTTTTCTGCTTGGCTAGTTTAGTTTCAACTCATACATCTGCTTTCCTGGCCACTACAACTTTGTGGCATCTCTTATCTGTTGTCCTCTCCTCTTTACTTCTTTGTAGCCACATAGGATTTATCATTTTTAACCCTTTATTATTATTTTTGAGGAGTTCTAGAAAGGAATATAGGTATGTTTTCAATTGACCATGTAAATTATCCCTCCAATGTTTGTATAATGAAACAATATTTGGCAATTTAGTAGATGGGATGATGGAATCCTATTATAATTTGCAGTTACTCAGCATTCAATTAGAATGAACATTTTACTGTGTGTTTATTAACCCTTTGTGTTTCTTCTTTGTAGAATTTTTATTTCCTACCTATGTCCATATTTTTATGTAGGGGCATTATATTTCTTATTTACTTGCTACCTAAGAATTTCTTATTATATATTGTATTTAAAATATTTTTTATTCTTAATACTATTTATGTTTACTTGTACCTTAGCTGTTTACTTCCTTAATTGCTGACAGTACAATACAAAATGCTGGTAAGACAAAAGAAGAAAATAAAATGACCCGTGATATCATCTAGATGTAACCTTAGTATATAACTTCTTATTTTTGTATGTGTTATGTGTTCATATTGTACATTTTTTATAATCCATCTTAAAATTATTTAATTAAAAATGTTAAAGTAGGCATTTCTCTTTTAAAAGTAAAACATTCAAAGATATAAAAAGAAAATATCAATCATCTTTTATTTCCTATTCCATTCTCTCTCCTGACTGCTTTGGTTGAATTAGCGTTAACACTCTGATGTGTATCCTTCTAAACTTTTCTTTATGTTTACAAATACATACAACATCTGAATATATTTGAGATCAAACTGGACCCTTTTTTTCACTTAACTGTATTTAATAGTTATTTATCAGGTTTTTCGATAAAGAATTTTAGTAATAGTAATTCTACCCAAAAGGTGTCCATGCTCTAGTTCCCTAGGGATGTTTGTATGTATGTGCATTTGTGTGTGTGTGTGCACACATGCTCATGCATGAGGTGTATGTTTCAGGTTTATATATTTCAGGAAAGAAGAATAGGTCACTATCTCTGGCTTATCAAAAATCTGTCCTATCATTTAGGACTTGTAACAAATATTACCTCTTTCAGAAATATTTTCTTTGTGTTTCTTTTATAGCCCTTATATTCTATATTGATAATAAATATTTGTGTATTTGCTTTATTCAGCAGTTAGAGTTTTTGAAGTTAGTTCCTTTTATACATCTTCTGCAGTACTTACCAAGGTTTTCTCATAAAAAAATTTGTGTTGAATTGCTTAGTATTATATGAAAGTACAAAAAAAGATCATATTTATGGGAGTTTGCAGAATTACAAAACTGTGAATGTATAAGGGTCATTTTTGTATAGCCAATAATCAAACGTCAAACAGACTAACTAAAAAACAAACTGGAGGACATATAAACAACTTGTGACTTTTTAAAGTCATTACCATCTTTCATGAGATAATTATCTTCCGATGGTTTGGCTCAGCTGTGCCCTACTATTTGCTCTTATTCGCCATTAAGGCCTCACATATTATTTATTTTCCTTCTGTAGTATTTATGCAGAAAGGCAGCAGTGTAAGCTCCCTTGCCTGTGATTCTTCCCACAGATAATAGAAAATAAATTGCAATTAGATTTTTGTAATTGCATATAATTAACTCAAAATGAGCTGTTAATTATAAAAAATATGTTTTCACTTTCTCATTATCTCATTTATTTTAGTTCCAAATTTTTAGTGCTTCACTTGAGTAAGTTTAATATTTTAAATACACAGAGTATTTTTAATACTAAGAGAGTTTAAATCTTCAAATAAACAAAATTTACTCAAAATTAAATTTTACCTAGGGAGTTCTACTGTTAAAGTCAAAGAGCCTACAAGGTAGAAAGAGGGCCATTCTCATAGCCATTCTTGATTGTATTTTCTAAAATTAGTAGGCATTTTTGTTTAAATAATTTTACAAAGGCTGCTCGAGGCTCTGCGATATTCTCCCTGGACGTATCTCTACCTCTTCCTGGGGTTAGTGGAGACAACATTATTTTCATAGCCAATGGAATCAAGGCAACATTAAATTCATTGTCTTTACTTCTTTTAACCTCTTATTAGATTACGGGCTGTTGAGAATTCTTGGTTTGCCAATGACTGTCAGAGTTTGGAAGCAGTTGCCAGAGTTTTTTCAAACTCTTATAATGTATAATAACTTTTTGAAAGGTCTATATTCTTATCAGAGGCATATTAGGAAATATTTTTGGAAGTGGTATATATTATCTTTGTTATAATTTTAGACATTATTTTTATCATAATTATTATTAAAGTTTAGGGCCTACTTGCCCGGATACCCTAAACCTAAACCATGTTCATCTCCTTGACAGGAGCACTAGTTTTTAAAATCTCATGGTTTCTCAGTTAAGTATGAAGGGAGAGCATTTACTAAAAAAGATAGTAATAAGGAGAACATCTGGGAGGAAGACAAAGAGATACTTGAAATATCCTCAAGGGAATATATAATAAGAAATCATCAAAAGATGATGAATAAGAAGTATTACATTCAGAATACAGAAATTCCTTCGAATTAATAAGATAAACTACCTTAAATGAACTACTCTCAGAAAAGTAAAACCAAATAGCTAATAAAAACAACAAAAAAGAATAGTTCCAGATGACTGACTTGAGGTGGCCAGCACTCGCCTTTTCCACAAAGAAGGACCAGGACAGCAAGTAGATATAACCACACGTCAAATGGTAGGAGAGAACAGTGGAATTCAGCAGAGACATGACTAAAGCATGGAAGAAGAGAAGCAAAGCAACTGGCTTAGCCAGGATCAGCTCATAGCCAGGAAGAACTCCCCATTGGAGATAAGGGGTAAACAAGAGATCCCCAGAGGTCCACAATCCCCATGAGCTCCTGCAGTCCTCACTATGGGAGAGCCCCTCAGTTATCTTGGGCTCTGAGACTAGTACAGGGAGCTGCCTGGAGTCCATGCAAGGACACTGTTCCAGAGAGGGAGTTCACGCTGGCTCCTACATACCCTGCCAGACCCAAACAGCTGCAACTCAAGGTCATTTTAGGAGTCCAGCTTACAACAAACTACATCCTATCCTAGGGCCCAATAAGCCCATTATCTCCACTTCCCTGGAGCCCTGCTGACCCCCCTCCACATTCTTCCAATGGGCTGGGGAGCGATGCTGGCTAAACCCTCCTATATGGGTGGGTCCCCAGCATTCTTGCCCACACACTGATGTACATCCTAGGGAAGCCGGGCTCGGTGGCTCAGCCTGTAATCCCGCGCCTTTGGGAGGCTGAGGTGAGTGGATGGCCTGAGCCCGCGGGTTCGAGACCCGCCTGGGCAGGCGAGACCTCATCTCTACAATAAATCAAAAAATCAGCCGGGCGTGGTAGCGCGTGCCTGTAATTCCGGCTACTTGGAAGGCTGAGGCGGAAGGATCGCCGGAGCCCAGCAGGTCGAGGCTGCGGTGGCCGGGAGCGGCCACTGCACTCCGGTCTGGGCGACAGAGTGAGACTCCAACTCAAAAAAACAAAGCAAACAAACATCCTAGGGAATGAGCAGTGCAGCACACCAGGGAAGGTGCAAAGGAAGCTGAAGCATGTGCTCTTAAGAGCTTGAGCACCTTCTGCCCAGGGCTGCTGCACTGACAGCAACCCCACCCTTTCCAACGGTAGAATCACTATACAACTGCACATGCCTTCAGGGGTCCTCGCTCACTGGCACACCATCTGGGACCTGAGGACAGGCCCACCCACCCACTGCCACCAACACCTGAGCACACCATCCAGTAGCCTAGGAATTGAACCACTCCACTTGCTATAGCCAATGACCACATGCTCCATTGGGGACTTGAGGACAGGCCCACTTACTCTGCTGCTGCCAGTGCCCAAGTATATCATCCTAGGTCCTAGGGATTGACCCATCCTACCTGCTGCTGCCTGTGCCCACACATTGACAGGCCCTACCCATCAACTGCTACTGCCACAGACACCTGAGTGCACCATGTAGGGACTTGTGGATTGACCCATCCCATCTGTTGTAGCCACTTGCCCACATACATCATTGAAGGGCCTGAGGACAGGATAATCCTACACAGAACGGCTGCTGCTGACAGCACTTGTGCTTATCATCTGGGGGTTTGGAGATTAACTCACTCCACCTACCACCCCTGGCACCCACATCTACTCGTGGGCGCCTTAGAGTGGGCCCTCCTTGCCCATCACCACTACTCACACATGCTATCCAGGGGAACGAGGATTAATCCATCCTACTTGCCACTACTGGTGGACACATATGTCCACTACTGGTGGACACAGGCCTATTCTGTCCACAACTGACAATGACATCCATGTCCCAGGACCCACACACAATACCTGGAGGCCTGAAGATTGACTTAATCACTACTACTGCCACTGCCAATGCCATGGTGCCCAGGGGCCCAAGGACCCACCTGCCTGCCTGGCCTCTGTTGCCACCACCAGCATCTGAGCAAGCCACTTGGAGGGCTTGAGATTTTGCCCACTCTGATCTGCCACTGTTGGTGCCCATGTATATCATCAAGTGGCCCGAGACTGGTATGCCCAGCCACCACCCCTACCAGTAAATAAAGCTCACCACAGCTTACACTAACACCCTTAGCCTAATCCACAGAGGAACTGACAGACACCACTGACAGTTATTTCAGCCAAAGAAATTGTATAAAGACTACAGAAATGCACCCAACCAGAATCAAAACCAAAGCACCCTATTCAACCAACACTTCAGATGCATATATACAAAAAGTCTTTCCTTACAACAGCCAGTCTATAAAATTGGAAGAAGTGACTGTTATACCAGATATGCACAGATATCAATGTAAGTGCATAAGAAATATCAAAAAGCAAGGAAACATGAAATCTCCAAACAAATACAAAAATTCTTCAGCAGCAGAGCCCAATGAAAGGAAGTCTATAAAATGCCTGGAAAAGACTTCAGTAATCAGATTGAGAAAAAAAATTTCTGAACTTGAAAACAGGCCTTTAAAATAACCCAGTCAGACAAAAAACAAAGAAAGTCTATGTGACATGGACACCATAAAGACCAAATATTTGAATTTTAGGAGTTTGGGGTTGAGAAGAGATGGACAAAAGCATAGAAAAATTATTTAACGAAATAATAGCTGAAAACGTCCCAAGTCTTGCAAGAGATATAGGCATCCAGATATAGGAAGCTCAAAAATCCCCAAATAGATTCAACCCAAAAAGGCTTTTTCCAAGGCACACTGTAATCATTATAGACTGTCAAAAGTTAAGGACGAAAGGAGAATTCTAAAAACAGCAAGAGAAAAGCATCAAGTCCCAGATGAGGGAATCCTTATTAGACTAACAGTGAATTTCTCAGGAGAAATTTTACAAGCCAGGAGAGAATTGAAGTGCTGATGAAGGAAAATTGCCAGGCAAAATACTGTACCCATCAAGCTATCTTTCAAAAATGGGGAAGGGAAGATAAAAATCTTTCTCAGACAAGCAAAAGTGGAAAAAGTTTATCCTGACTAGACCAGCCCTATTAGAAATGCTTAAAGGAACCCTACATCTGGAAATGAAAGGGCGATATTTACCATCATGAAAATACACATAAGTATAAAACTGGTATGTGGTAGAGCAGTACACAATTGAGAAAAAGAAAGACATCAAATGTTACCACTATAAGAAAAGAATCAACAATTGTAATGATAAGAAAAAAGGAAGAGAGGAACAAAGGGTGTACAGAACAATAAGAAAACAATCAACAAAATTATAGGAGTAAGTCCTTACTTATCAATGGCCTCCTTGAATTTAATCAGTTTAAATCCCCCAATGAAATATCTCTACTGGAAACAGATTACCAAAGCAAGATCTGACTATATGCTGCCTTCAAGAAACTAACTTTACCTGTAGAGACATATAATATAAACTGAAAATGAGGAGATGGAAAAAAATACTTTGCATAAACAGAAGTCAAAAGAATGCAGGGATAGTTATTCGCAGACAAAATAGACTTGAAGAAAAAAACATAAAAAGACAAAGATGGTCATTATATAATGGTGTAGAGATTAATTCAGTAAGGGGACATAACAACTGTAAATATATATGCAACAAAGCCAAGTGCGGTGGCTCATACCTGTAATCCTAGCACTTTGGGAAGCTGAGGAGAGAGGATTGCCTGAGCTCACAGGTTCGAGACCAACCTGGGCAACATGGCGAGACCTCATCTCTACAATAAATCAGAAAATTACCTGGGTGTTGTGGTGCACACCTGTGGTTCCAGCTACTTGAAAGGCTGAGGCGGAAGGATTGCCTGAGCCCAGCAGGTCAAGCCTGTAGTGGCCATGAGCATGCCACTGTACTCCAACCTGGGTGACAGACTCTAACTCAAAAAGAAGAAGAGAAAAAAAAAAGAAAAGAAAGAAAAAAAATATATATATATATGCAGCAAACACTGTGTACTCAGATAGATATATAAAGAGTCAAAGAAAGAGATTCCTGAGTATAATAATAGTTGGGGACTTCAACACATCACTTTCAGCATTGGACAAATTATCTAGATAGAATATCAACAAAAACATCTGACTTAACTACACTATATACCATATGAACTTAATAAACATTTGCAGAACCTTTCATCCAACAGCTGCAGAATATGCATTCTTCTCATCAGCACATAAACATTCTCCAGGATAGACCATTCCCTGTGTTAGATCATAAAACAAGTTTCATCAATTTAAAAATGTTGAAATTGTATCAAGTATTTTATCTAACCACAATGGGATAAAACTAGAAATCAATAACAAGAGGAACTTTGAGAATGGTACAAACACATGGAAATTAAACAACGTGCTCCCACATGAACATTAGGTCAAAGAAGGAAATCAAAAAATTTTTTTAAATAAATGAAAACAGAAATGTAACATACCAAAACCTAAGGGATACAGTAAAAGCAGTGCTAGGAGGGAACTAGAAAAGCAGCACTAAATGAAATAGAGACCAAAAAAGGCCTCAAAATATAAAAATGTTATTTTTAAAATACACAAAATTGATTTTTTAGCTAAAAAAAGAGAAGACCCAAATAAATGTCATAAATGAAAAAGGAGACTTTGTAAGTGATACCACAGAAATATAAAGAATCATCAGAGACTATTATGAACAACTATATACCAGCAAATTGGAACGCC